CATCAATCCAAGACATAAGAAGAAATTTATGCTTTTTTATGAGGACATTATATCCAACTGAAAAACCATTATTAATCTTTTTTTGGGGTGACGGTTTAGGGAAGTGACAAGTGTGATTATCACGTTGATTTACATTAAGATCTGATGACTCAACTTCAAAAGTGGCTGAGGGATTAAAAACGTAGAATTTATTTTTATGCATCTTTGTCACTAAATTGACTTTTCAACAGGGACTATTTAACGGTATGTAAGTGGATGGATGCTGAGGTCTTGGGATGGCTGTCTGTGGTTTGATTGTCTTTGTGTGGGAGACTATAAGCCCTTTTTGGACTATCAGTATTTTTAAATGGGATTTTCAGGGACTGCACTTCGTTGTGGTGTGTGGCGGCGATCTATTTTGATAAAACGTAAGACATCATGTAACATCATTTTAACCGTCACAGTAGTAATTATGCAACAAATCATTGGATTTTGTCTGTTGTTGTTAGTGTTTATCATATAAACCGTGTCCATTGATTTTTTTTTTTTTTTTTTTTACTCTTTAAAAGGTTGTGTTGGCAACTGAGGGGGTGTGCTGATCACTGGTTTGGAGTTTTGTCCAGGATTCTCTGTGACACTCCAGATGCTCTCAAGACAGCGTGTTCTCATACAATCATCCTTCTTCATCCCCACTAACAATTTAGGTAATGAAATATTGATTTTTAGTTAGATTGGCGGGATATTGGATGCTATTAGCTTGCATTGATAAATCACTTTTGATTGCTTGGGGAAAGCCAGACCAGGAAGACATTACTGGGTGTGTTAATCTGATGAATATGCCTTCAGTCTTCCTCATGTTCTCTCTTCTACCCGGACTGTTCACACTTCATCTTACTGGTGTTTAAAGAGGTTTCAATGATGGGTTGACCAACTTCTTTGTCACTATATTAAGGGTTCTTATGTTTTCTTCATTCTTGGAATTTGAGGATTCACTTGTTGTTAAGATGGAAAACTTAAAATAATTTTTTGCAGTGTTCAAAAAAGTAAACCATGGTTACTGGATATATGCAGGACAGAAATTCACCCTTTTCTATTATATTTTACAAATGTTTTTGCAAATAAATTAATAATATTTAGTGCTTGTATTCAAAGCGTTGTGCTGTGGGGGTACAGTACACTGGTGCAATCTCTTGACTTAGACCCTTTTTTAGCAGACTTTTAATGCCATGCTCTAACAACTGAGGTATATAACAACAACACATTTTCCAGTCAGCCTACTGTGGAATTGGCTTGGAAATCTTCCTTATCACCAGTGTCCCCTGGGGTCTGGAGGCGGCGCTCCAGTATTTTAGCCCTGCTTGTCTAGTCATTACTGTCACAGTGGGGCTTCAGTATCTGAAACTGCAATACAGCTTCGAAGGACCTGCAACAAATTAAAATAAACCCTTTATATGGAAATATAGTGCATAAGTTAAAAGAAAAACAAATAGAGATCTTTAAACATAAACTTAATTAAAAACAACGTATATCGCGATTTGTATTCGATGGAAGAGAAGTAATGTAAAAAAAAAAAAAAAAGAAAAAAAAAAAAAAAAAAAAAAAAAAACAAAAAAAAATAAAAAAAAAAAAAAAAAAAAAAACGAAAAAAAAAAAAAATGGAGGTCAGAGATCAGGATACAGCCTAGGTCTATCATTCGACACACAGAATCAGTGGGTCCCATTGTTTTTTTTGCTCGTCACCTCCCTTAATAAAATAGCCATGACAAAGAGAAACTAAATGGGGATATTTTCCCTTCTTAGATTGTTTTATTTTACATACACTGTTTTAAAAGGGGGACACTAAGCGAAACTAAGAAAAACAATTGTATAAGCCATAGAGCGGGCGTACAATTGTTAAATCACTTTGATCGAGCTCTTAGATTTATGGCTCATTTTATATAATAAATGTGTTAAAGGGAAAAAATTACTTTGCTCAGTCAGTCCTGACAGCTGTCACTCCAATGGCCCACCAGTCCGTCTCCCCTCTCTGCTCGACAACAAGCCAGGCGTTTCCCTGTCAGACAACATATGCCACTGCATTTCTCCTGCTCCGAGCCGCCTGACAGTATCCACTCCCAGACCCTGTGGCCGGCTCCCACTCTCAGCCCCTCTTGCTGGTGGCACTGCGAACATGATCTCTGATGTCTCTCAGGCAGTTAACTGATGCTGTCACTGCACCAAGATATAACACGACCCACTGACAAACACATTCTGACAAGGACATACAGGCACACCAGTGTGTACACAAGACTCGCATACGCACGGTCGCACAAGTGCTCATGCCTCGTAGACGTGCTAGACAACAGTAGCTGCAAGTACAGCCTTTATTCAGTATTTATTTTCTCCTCCGGGTTCAAGCAACCAGATAAGGTCAGCTGCACATATGTCGACTGTCACAAAAAATATTAGAATTCTGATGCTTTTCTGCGACTTTTTGCTCAACCTTATCCACTCGACACGTTTGAAAGTTGCCCGTGGATTCAGTTTGGCCAAGTTTAAGATTTACCGCATGTGATAAGGTCTCAATCATGCCTGCAGGCAAATTAGCTGTCTGGTGGTGGAAAAATAAGGCCTCATCAATCATTTGAAGCTTTGTCTTTGTACTGGGTCGAGCTGTATACAGGGGAAGCTTATAGAGTAAGTTATTGGGCAAACATTTTAATGGGTTAGTGGTTGAAAAGATTAGAAAACAAATAAAAGATAATGTCACATGATGTGACATAGCCGGCAGGTAAATTGAGAAAAACCAAGAGGGGTGGAATGTGTAACAAAGCAGCTCTTCTATTTCTTGACATTGCCTGCCATCTGCTGGTAGAAGTGGTAAAGTGCAACCAAGATGAGGCCAGATTTTATATTATTATTACCTTTTATTATTTCTGATTGAGATCAAAATCTTACCTTAACCTGAGTACTTCAGGAGAGATCACAGATAAGTCAAACAGCCAGTCACACACATCTCTAAAATGTCCTAAATTAGAAGTTAAACTCATCCAATAATCTATTTGTATGGTGCAAAGCAGAGGAAGTCTTCAAAAGATCAGTATTCTAGAGTATTATAGAGTATTAAAGCCAGTGTTTGGTTTGTCCTTCTTGCTAACTGTACGAAGACGTATTGCTAGGGTTTCTTACTCTGCGGACTCCACACAAAGTCCCCCCTGCAGAACGTCGATAGTCATCATGATAAAAGCTCCAATCTAAGCACAACAAGAACATGACAATGATTCTTATATTCCAGGTTATTATACACTAAATCAATGATAGACTCTATAGAATCTTCCTAAATGTTACACTGGACATTTTAAATAACAATCTAAACTTTAAAACATTTAGTTCTCTTCACATAAATGGACAAAATGTTGAGATATAGACCTACTCTGTATATTTTTAAAGTTTTCTTACACCCCTTATAATCAAAAAAGGTCTCACAACCACCCTGTGTAGCTTTGGCGACCCCTGGTGGGGGCTCTAACCCTCAGGTTGGGAACCACTGCCTTAAGATTTGTGTGTGCGTGTGGTGATAATGACAACAGCACTATTATAACGTAAATCTACATTGACCAACTTTATTTTGTATTATTTTAACAGTCAGACAAAATGTGGAACTGGTGAAAATAGAAATTCTGATACCAACATAATTATTAACTATGAAACATGTTTACAGTCAAAACAATGAACCCAGTGAGAGCTTAACTTTAAGCTTTAAGTTTGCATAAAAGTTCAGGCTTGCATAACAAGCACTGTCTCACTGTTTCCTGCCACTCCTCCCCCTGATACACTGTCTGAAGCAGCATCTTTACAGACAGCTAGAGCACAGGCTCAGTAACACCTCCTGCAGGAGCGTGCACTCTGACCTCAGTCGTCACTGAAAACAATCCTTTTTTTAAAACATTTTCTGTTGTTACTACAAATATCAAGTACGTCTGAGTGTTAGAATTGCCACTCTTAGCAAACAAACAAAAAAGACCATTAAATAAAACAATCATTTACAATATTTATCAAAAAACAGTTTTCCACACAGATCAAAGTCAATACTCCAGTAATAAATTATGTATTCTCAAGATCTCTCAAGAATCCATAAGTTGATGGCTTTTTGTCAAATGCATAGACTGTTTCTCTATGGGAGATGAATACACTGAATCAGAACTAAAATATAAACATACTAAACAAATCTGCAAACAGAAAACACATGAAAACAAATTGAGAATGAGGTGAATTTTTTTGTAGTCTTTTCAGTAGCTTAACCGGCCAATGTAAGTCAGGGCCACGTCAGTAGAAGTTGTTACCGCTACAGTCTCTACTTCTAAAAATCACAGCATTAAGTTGCTACATCACTAACACGATGGGAAATCAGTGCGGCTGTTTATACTATCTTTCTGATAGGATAAAAAAAGGACAAATTATAGCATTTCAAACTTAAGAATTATGAACCACATTTCATTGTTAACTGGTCATTTTGACACACAAACTTGTTTAACAGACTGGCTACAATGATGGCCACCAATTTATTTATATTCCTCTGGATTTCTCACATTAACTGATTGCCCTTTGTGGACCGTGGGTTTGGCTACAGCTATGGATTTGCCAAGGTGTCACTCCTGCTGTTTGACATGGATATCTGATTTTAAAACTGGCCAAAAAGACAAAGATTTTATTAAAGTTATTGATGATTTTACAACTTATAAACTGGAGGTGAGCAGTTACTTAACTTTGTCACTGGCACTGATACACTGATGATGAGTATGGCAAGGTTTTGTAGTATTTTGCTTAAAAGGTCAATAAAAAGTCTCATGGAGAAATATTTTTGCATCTATCCGACTTGAAGTCTTGTGACTGTGGGCTGAAGAGCATCACAACATCCAGTGTGACAATAGTAATATAACCAGTGCATCCCGTTTCTCTAAGTGTGTGTGGGATAATGAGCTAATAATGCCAAAGCCTGCTCATATTTGACCCTAATTAAACCATCCCAGAGTGCCTTACAGTGGGATCATGATTTTGTTCATTTTCACTTGCCATACAATAGTGCTGGATGCTAACAGTCCACTCTTAGGGCACATTCTGAATAATTCTGTGAATATGGGCTTCAAACTGAAAGTGACAATATTTTTAGCTTCAGTTTGTATTCAAGTACCCAGTAGCATATTGTTAATGTTGAGACAATCAAATGCAGTAAAAAACCTTGAACCAAAAACCAAAATAGGGCATATACAACATATATAGAGGTAAAAGTGAAGTAAAATGTTCAGGTCACAGCTTACAACTTTTGAAGTCTTTTGAAGTGTTTCTGGTGGCATTCACTCGTACAAACCATAAGATTTAGTGTTTTTCTTACCAGGATTTCAGCTGCTAGAGCTCATTTTCACTGATATCTGTAGGCCTGTAGCCACTATAATGTCCTCTTTATCCTTGTCAGTGTAGCGTCACATTTTATTTCCACCTAGGCTGTGGTCCCACCCACTAACAGTTTAGGCTCAAACAGTTCTACCTCATTTCCATAGAACATATATTCATGTGTGTTTTGGTAACTAACATATCTACACTCTTTAACAAACAAAAAGCATGCGCAACACTTCAAATGAAATCATATTACAAAATAATAAAGGTCCACCTCATTGCTTTGCATATGTTGTGCATTATCCAGTGCCTCTGTCCTTTTTTAGGAGTTATGGCTGGTTCCTTTAAAGAACAGCAGTAGTGTCGTGCAGGAACACGCTGTATGTTCACGTTCCTTTATGAAGAGACCCTGAGGATGAAGTGGAGCGGCTGTTCACCTGCAGGAGACAAGTGTGAGACGACACCAGTTAGAGCTTATGTAACAACACTGAGAGGGAGTGTGTATGTCACTTAAAATGATCAGACAATTTATGATGCTGTTTTATTGTGTTTGTAACAGCACTCGTTCAATAACGTGTTTTCAGCATATTCGTGAGAAACACATTTGAATTAGCTTTACTTATGATGGCAGGGGAGTTTAACTGATTTTTATTCTAGAATGATAAATGTTTTTATTTCTTGAAAATGTAAACCTCAGGTACATTTTAATTTAGTCAGAGCTGCATGTAGGTTTAGGCTTTTATTTTTAAGATGGTCTGCTTTCTAATGAATTTTGTTTGCAACAGGTTGTCCCCCTCAGGGCAAAAACATAATAATCATTATAACCAATAATTTACACTGTAGTTCTCAGCTAACCTGGTTTAATAAAAATGCATTAGTTTTCTCCTAAGAGGATTTATTAAAACAATACAACTAAACAAGTGGTCAGTTCACTGATACATTTGGACACAAAACCTTTCTTATAGTAGCTATATTTTAAATGCATTTAGTGTTAATGTCCTTAATGAAACACCAGTTTTGGGGTGTACAGTATGTGTTAATGACTCTACACTTTGGTAATAATTGAATGTCTGATGATATTATGTTGTGTAGTGCAGGCCCTGTCACACTATGCTGATAATTTATGTAGTTGCTACTGTATTAGTTGACCCACAAGGTCTCACCAATGTAAAGTTGCTCATAAAGAGGCTCCATGTTTGTAGAAAGTGTGTATAGTATGGACAGAGTAAAGCTGGTACCTTCTAAGTTTAAAGACCAGAAGACACAACAAACATGTAAAAACAATCTTTAAGAATGTTCCAGTATTACTGGTTAACATCCCCCACAGTGTTTTCTATATTAGTTTTATCTGATTTCTAATTCCTCACCCCTACAGACTAAGATATTTCACGTCTCTAGTGTTAAAAAGTTGCCCACATATTACTCGAGGGGAAAGAGGAGAAAGAAAGAACAGTTGTAGGTAGCATCAGGGTAGGCCTGACTGACAGGCTGATGACACACCATATGGAGATGCTGGGCGAGTTTTACCCTGAGGGGGACAACAATGTTTTTTTATTATGTGTTTGCCTCGTCCCTGTCAGCCTCTCTTACGAAAACGAGAAGGAAGAGACAGCCAGGTTGTGGAAGTTGACAGCCACGCACGCAAACACATGAAAATACGGAGACGCACGTGCACAGAAATGACATGCTGTATTCAGACACAGACAAGGTACAGACAACACACAGTTGGTGAAGACGTACTGTACATACTTGTGAGGGATAGAAGGACTTTCATGCTGTTCTTAATTTTAGAAAGTGAATTCGCTGATCAGGTTTGAGAGTTATTCAACTCAGTTTAACTGTATTTAGAAAAAATCTCTGATGTTAAGAAAAGCACTCCCCACTATGGACTGACTGGCATTTTGTTCATAACAGGGACATATGAAGACATAAAGCTGGGGATAAAGGTTTGTTTACATTAGTGATGTTTCTATACAACATCAACTTAGAATCAATGTAGTTAGTAAATGTTAGGAGATGACTAAACCAGTGTTTCTCAAACTTTTCACCACCTCAGAAAATAATAGGCATACCACCATTGTGACCAACATTAAAATACAGTAGCGTTGGCCAACCCTGTTCAACTACAAACAGTTGACACGATTGCACTGTTTTTGAACAATTCATTTTACCTCCGCTTACTATCTTGCCCTTTTGTTTTAGCTCGCCAATAGTCATGTTCATGCATGCGCTACATGCATGAACATGACTACGTAGCAGGCTGCTAGTGAATTGACATTAAATGTTGTTTAATTATTTATAATTAAGGTTATTTGTGAGTTCATTCACTGATCTCTAGGTTAAAGATTAGGATTCATTTTCAATCTTATTTTTAAATTACATCCAGAACTACAATATCAGTGGCTGCTGCGGGAAAAAAAACATACTTGTTTGGAGGCTTCAGAGGTTGAATGGACTTCTTTTCCAAAATTTCCATTTAACTGCAACAGTGCTGTAAAAGGTGAAAGTATAAAAAGAGCGTATAAACACAAATGTCCTGGTCATGTCTAATTCTGATTTACACATTCAAATAATGAAGGCCTACTGTTGACCTTTCAGTGTAACATCATAATAACATTAGAAGTCACTCTTCAGTGGCAGTGGGTTACATCATGTGCTCATTATTGTTTAATCCATTTAATTTTAAAATCAGATAGCTTTTAATCCGTCCATTTAAACCATTTACAATGAATTAAACACAAAACCAAAAGCTTCTCCTCACCTTGTGGATCGATCCTGGGATCAACAAACCCCCAGTGCTGGTAAAGAGCAGCTAGATCGTGGGGACTGTAGTTTTTCAGGAGACTCAAAATATCAATGTCCATTGGCATTTCTCCTGTTGAGTCATTCTTTCCCTGAGCAAAACGGAGTGGTTCTAAATAAGCTTTGTGACCCCACATGTTCATGGCAGCCCACAGATCAGGGCCCTTAGGACCTGAAGAAGAGTCACATGGCTGCCTGTGGGGATGGGGTCTATCTGCAGCTGTGTTGGATGAAGTCCCGCCATGATTTCTGGCCAACATAAAACCCAAACCTTCCTGTGGGAAGTTTGCTTCCACTGCAGCTCTGTGGCCTCTGTGTTTGGGGCTGCTTGTAGGCTGGGAACTAGGGGCACTCTTGCTGCGCACAGTACTGCTCGATGAAGTAGCTTGGGTGCTGGAGCTCTTACTTCCCCCCTCGTCTGCCCGGTTATGTCCACCAGACTTCTTTTGAGGTAGGAGTCCCATCCTCCCACTAGACTGTGTCCCATGTGAAGCGCGCAAGTCCTTTGAGTGATGTTTGGACTTCGGGCCACCTGACTGGGTCTTGGGAGCTGAGTGCTTGCTGCTGTGGGCTGTGATACCTGGAGGCTGTGTGCGCTGAGTTCTTGGAGCAGGTAGAGCAGGGCAGTCCTTGCCTTCGAGGAATGGTGGAGGCCCTGTGCGTCTCCACTGGGTAGCACCTGTCTTTAAACTCTTGGGGCTGTTAGTGCAGGGTGCCCACTTGGGTGCCATGGAGCTGCTGCCATCTACCCTGTGTGCAACCCGCTGATGGATCCACAGCACCTCTGGGTAGTTGGTAGTGTGGGTGCAGTATGGGCACTGATGTCTCACCAGGCCCTCTGTTTTTAGCGGGTAATTTACAGCACTGTCTTCGCTTATGGGTAGTGAAGACAGGTTAAGGAGACTTCCAGCATCATTAGTAGCCTGTCCCTGCCCTTTGACCTCAGTAGCCTTTGACTTTTCTGTTTTAATGTTTGACTCTGCAGCGCCCTGGCCAGGCGGACATGTGTAAGGATTCCAGTATGGCTGACTGAGCAACACACTCCTGTTTCTGAGGTAGTCCATGTATCTCGAGGCTTTGGAACCACTTTGGCTAATGTTGTCCAAAGCTGTGCTGTGTTTGCTGTATGGACCCAGGACGTCCTGGTGCTGCCTGAGCAGGTGAGACCTGAGTAGTGAGGCATCGACAGTGTGGAAATCACAGTGCTCGCAGAAGTACGGTTTTTTATCTGTAGGTTAGAGCAGAAGAAGCAATGTAAAGGAATTCAAGAGTTGTGTCAGTACTGTATGCTTTTAAATATACTGTATATACATATATACAACAGAGTCACTAGCAGCGATAACATACTCATAATTTAATCTTTAAAGATGACTAAATAAGTTAATTTCACTAAAACACTAGGTGATTATCTTAATCATTCAATTTTATTTTATGCTGATTAAACACAAATCTGTGAATGGGGGAGGCAAACTGCTTAGGTACCCTTCCTTCCAAGCAGCAGCTCTAAATCTAGTTGACCAAAGAAAGATTTTAGGTGAATATTTAGCCTAACAAAAAAAACAAAAGCAGGATTTATACTCTCCACAACCTCAACAATGCGGTCTTTATCAGTTTGAAAGTTGCTTATTTTGATTTTCTTTATATGAAAATGTTGTAAGATTATGCAGAAATAGAGATTTTTAAAACAAAAAACGTTGGCTGTTGTGTATTATTGAGTTATAGCCAACAAAATATTCCTTTAGTTAATTAAACCATTTTGGAGGCACCTGTCCCTTAAAAGTCTTCTGAAGCTCAGTTGAGGAATCCTTGATTGGTGTGCATTTTCAAAATGTTGTGTAAACTATTGTGCAATTACAGTTGCTGTAATTCAATTACAAATTCACTAGAGGGCTCCCTTTTCCACAGTACAATGTTAACCCTAATCTGCTTTTTACACCCCAATAGAGTTGTCTGAGTGTTGAATTTCCACATTGATGAGCTGGTGAGTTTAACCTACCTTACAGCAATATCAGAGAGAGACTTTTGGTCTGTCTGTATTAAAGCCAGCTGTTTTTTATCAAAAAAAGTGGCACATCTGTATGTCCACAAACATAACCTTTGGTTCCTTAATTTAAACAAAACGGGAGCAATATTCAATACAAAGCAACTGTCCTCAGCACAAACTGGAGCTGCTAATTGATTCCCATGTTCTTCCTGTCCAAACTGTAGCACAGATACTGTAGTGTGGTGTGTATAGCTTACCCTCCTGGTCTTGGCTCCTGATGTTGTTGGTCTGTTTGGGTATGAAGTGAACATCTTTAACTTTCTTAGTCTGCAGCGCCTCATAAAATGCATGACCAAGTCCGTTCAACAGAATACGGTCCTTCTGGCAAATCCTCTTGTCACCACCTTTAGTGTGAGTCAAGCTGTTGGATGTGTGATCAAGGCCTGGATCACCCTTCATCTTCTTTACATTGGAACTGGAAGTGTCTATTTGCTTCCTCCTCTTCTCCTGTTTCAGGGGAACATACTCGCCCTTCTCTGTGTCATATGCCACCGCAGCATCTGCTAGCCTCTCCTCCCATCCCAGACACTTCTCTGTGACCTCCACTAGTCGTCCCCTTGTGGCCAGCTGCCACGCTTGGTAACTACAAACTGGATCCAGCTCTGGAATTCGCCTGCTCAGGCTCTTTTCCTCTTCCTCTTTCCTCTTTTCTCTTGGACCAACACATGTGAGGCTCAGGCTTTCCAAAAAATGCCTCTTAGCAACGTGCATCTCGGGGGCTTCGATATCCTCCTGTGGTGGATTTTGTGTGCGACTGTGGTTAAGTTTATGTAGCTTTTCGTGTATTCGCAGTGTTTTGCGGTCTGAGAAAAAGTTGCCGCAGCCAGCGCACAGCTCGTAGAGGCACTCTTCATTTGTCAGCGATGCCGGGTCCTGTGGAACTCCATTGATGGTGGCAGGCGGCTCATTGCTTTTGCCACCTCTTAGCTGGGCTTTGACCCGGTGAATGCGCATATGACTTTGGAGGAACCACGCCTGGCGGAAACGGCGTCCACAAATCCGGCAGCCGTGATCCTGGGAGCTGCGGTGCCTTTTCATGTGGGATTTAAGGAGCAGTACCTGAGGGAAAACCTGGCCACAAATGCTGCAGGTACAGGACCCAACATCGGCCTCATCATCGACCTCAGCGCCATCTTTACCCTTAACTTTTTTCTTGCTTCCTTTCTTCTTTACCTTCCCGTTGACATTATGAGCTTTGTCAGATGTGCTGACGATTTCAGGAGGAGGGTCGGGTGTCTCAGCGTTACCTTTCTGCTCTTGATCTGCATCCCCCTCCTTGTCACTGAGGTTTTGGCTGAACAGGCCCAGCTTATGGCTTCGAATGTGGGCCTTCAGACTGCCCTTTTGAGCCGTCCTGTGCTCACAGTACGGACACTTGTACGGCTTCTCCCGTGTGTGTCTTCTCATGTGCTGGGAGAGAGAGCTGAGAAGAGGAAAGCTACGGCCACACACTCCACAGGTGTGGCCAGAGGTCACGTCTTCCTCTGTCTCTGCCTTTATATTGGCTGTGGGTTTTTGTGATGCATCCTCCCTCTCTTCTGTCTCCATTACTTTTCTTGGAGCAACAGTACGTCAAAGAACCACAACTGTGTAATAAACCCTCTAACAATGCAAAGTTTATCTCCCAAAAGTTAGTGGGTTCTCGGAACGGGCATCAAAAACATCATGTCCGTCCTGAAGTCCTCGTTTTGGCAAGAATACCTGGAAAGAAGTAAGAGTAAAAGAAAAGAAATTAAAATTGGGCTGGTGATAATACATACCAGATGACATCAAAAAAGGTTGGTCAAATAAAATTATATATATATATATAAATATAATTATTCTAAAGAAAACCAGAAAAAGCATACAGTCCTCCTTGGAGAAATTATTACGTAGTTCTATTTAGTTTAGGATACATAACAGTGATGATGCATAAAAACAGAAATATGTGCACATACATTGAAGTAACCGTGCCTGTCCATGGCATAATTAGGGATATCACAATATTTAATACAATGTTGAATAAAGTGAAGGAAGAAGACCTTGATACCCCTATATAACAAGTCTATAGACTGTAGAAGATATTTAAATCATTAAATGTGACAAAACACACTATTTTGTTCCATAAGATTGATACTTCTGTTCAATAAGCTGTCAAACAAAATCACGTTTCCTTTTGTTCATATGTAGGTACACAGAAAACATCCAGAGATGGTTTTGCCATGAATACACTTACAGTGAAAGCAGAAGTTGCTTACATGTAAGGTAGTTTCACTCCTTATGTGTTAAAACTACAAACCATGTACTTAGAGAGAGAGCTCACTGAGGCGTCACACAGATTTTAAAATAACCTTTGTCCCCTAGTGGATGAGCAACGCCTGTCTGTGCGTATTAGAGCGTGGGTCAGTGTCTCAACATGCGTGTGTGTGTCTGTCCTTTGGTTTCCTATGCCTAAATTGAGTGTGTGAGGTGAAGCATGAAGAGATGTATTCATTCCTGGCCAACCAGGATGAACCCTGAGGGGCAGCCCACTCTACTTCACAATCAATAATCCATTATCAACAAACTTCATTTTAGAAGCTCAAATATAGGCACACACATGGCACTGATTCTGGGGTTGATGTAGGATTGTGGGTAAAGGTAACGAGGTACATTACTAAAATAATATGACAGAATTAAACCTTCATAAATGTGAGGCAAATGATCTCATACTTCTGATATATGAAGCCCTGTTAGCTCTGAGACGTCTGTTTAAAAGCAGAACAAAACCATCCATGAGCAGGACAGGTCGTTTGTCGTACTCTACATGAAAACTAGTACACGGTACAGGCACGGTCTGATGTGGTTCAACATGTTCCTCAAGCAAACATATTTGTTAGGTTGTTAATGGCCAAAGAAAGTACTCTGTGGCGAATAGCCAGCCAGGCAGTCAAAAGAAAAAACCTGCTATTGTGTAAGCCGCACCAGAACTGTCACATCGCCTCATGTCTGGCCCTCCACCCCTCACTGGGGGGTCGAGAGAGGTATTGTTAAAGCAAAGAGGCCTGGGCCTACACGTCACTGTCGTCAAATACATGTCTGGCCAAAGAAGCAGCACAAAAGACAACTCCTGTTTGTCTTGTCAGTCTTTTGAATGTGAGGGAAAACTAGGTGCACATTCACATAAAGGCTAGAAAAAGCGATTGACTCTGGTATGATTTTCAGGGGATGAGATTGTCTGTCTAATTATCTGTATCTTCATCCACGGTCGCATCTGCCTGCCTGCCTGCCTGCCTGCCTGTGGTCATGTGTCCTGATCCGCTCACACTGGAATGGGTGTTGTATCTGGAATATGGGAGGAGTTTAGGAGGTTTTTTTCGGACATGGCAGGTGTTTGGTAGGCAGACGCCATCAGATTAGTGCACGGGCAATGTGGCACACTGTCTCCAAGAGGGGGAGGATGTGCACGAGAAACTGGAGGGTGGCAATTAAGGGGTTAAGGTTAAGGCGAATGTAATGAGTTAACACAATGGGGATAAAGTCAGAGCTGAGGGCAACAGATGGGAATAAACGGGCCATCAGTATGGAGTTAGCCGCCTCTACAGTATGAGCTTATGCCTTTGTCAAAGCAGCCTGCGTGATTGGTGTGTGCTATATATTTGCATCTTCGATATGCTACTTTTGCACAATCATACAAGAAAATGTATTTGTGCATTGTTTAGGTTAAACAAGGAATTGGTTTACTGCATTTTTAACATCAAAAATCAATCTTACAAAATACATTTTGCCTCTCTGTACGTCACTATCTTTTCAACCTCGTCTGCTTTCATCCCATAAATACTGAGAGCCCTTTGGAGGATCTGTAACTTAATGCAGATAGCCAAACATGTTGCTCCAGGGCTTAACTCATTTCTTTTTAGAATCCCTCGCTCCCTTTTTCTCCCTTTTCTTTGGCAGATGAATAGGCATGTCCAGTCAGCTGTCCTCGCATTGATTCATCCTGACGTCCCAACCAGCTCAGCACAAACTCCCTATGGTCAGGGCACTGATGCTGAGAGCCTGTGTGTGTGTGTGTGAGAGAGTGTGTGTGAGAGAGTGTGTGTGAGAGTGTGTGTGTGTGTGAGTGTGTGATGTGTAATGTGAGCTCCAGATTAACGATGTGATCTGTGTTACAGAAGCTTCTGTTAGAGGTGTCAGTCTCACTGTTAATGACTGTAGTGTGTGTGTGTGTGTGTGTGTCTGTGTGTGTGTGGTATTACTGACTTTAATTCCTTCAGCTGTCAGCTTTGATCAGCCTGCTGGAGAATCTGAATCAATGAATATAAAATGTAATAATTGTTTAACAGATTAAAAAAGAAACGTCAGCTCGCCGTCTGTCTCAACGTGTCATCGGGAAGGAGGAGCTAGAGAACCGCTTCCTGGGACAGGAATGTAGGAGACGTGGAGCTCCGTCTCATA